GAAATTATTCGAATTTAATTACATGAATATCGAGTTACATTTTGGAAGGTTTTATTAAATGAATGAAAATTGTCACAAGTCTGATAAGAAAATTGAAAATTAAACTTATTAATAGTAATTTTTATATTCTCTTTACATTTTAATTCCATCAATTGTTCGTAATCTCACATTTTTAATAGATACATCAAATTGCAATAAATTGGAAATATCAAATTTTCTTCAGAACCAAAAACACGTAACAATTGAATTTTCCTGCGGGTAGCATGTGGGGATTAAAAGGAAAATTTATTTCTGTTTTTTAAGTGTACACCAAGTTTTTATACCCTTTTGTAGCTTTATCAGTAAAAGAGCACACATTAAAAAATATTCCAATGTTTACATCACGGTCAAGTGCAATCGATATCGATAAAACTGCGAAAGTGGTATCCAGGGATCCTTTTCAGGCCATGAATTTGCTACGGTAAAGGTGCATTATTGACTGAAAGCAGAAGTATTTGCCCAGTTCTATAAAAGGAGTTGATGTCAGCGCCAACTATCCTGGCTTCTCGTGTGAATACGACTGCTAGTCTAATTTAAGTTTAAGGGTAGATCCTAAGTCTGATATACAAGAAAAGTTCGCTGTTTGATTGATACAAACTTATTAGTAACTCCGAGGAAATTAGTTTTTCGTAGTTTTCGTGAAACTGGGAAACTGGTGAAGCATAAAATAGATTGCTATTTTTAATGCCAACAATATTGTTCCCATGCGACTTTCGTTAGGATGAACGGAATGGCTTATGAAAATACGCTGTTAATGTTATGCAACTATAAAATGTGTGAATTTGCAATTAAATCAATTGAGATAGTATATAATTTTCTATTTTATAATAGAAATACTTGTTTGTGATTTTTTCGACATTATGAGTCCGTTCACAAATTGATCGTTGTTTACTAATTTCCTTACTGGTTTGTTAATAACAAAAGCTAATTTACTAGACGCAGAGTCCTTTTATCAACGCGTTCTGCGGCATTTCAAACAAACCGAATTCGTGACTGACGAATTGGTCATTCAACTAGGTCAAACAAACACTATGTCCTTTTTTTCAAGTGAAACACAGAATCTGTCTCTCCAATTCTCCAATAAATTCGCGAAAAGGCAAAACGCAACAGTTTACACGCGTCACTTTATTTCACGGTACACTATGTTCGCTTTACACAGAAGCGGTCGAAACAAAAATTCAGACAACGAACGGATCACGGTAATCGATTTATATCCTAACTGCTGTTAGCACGTTCGGCTAAATGGTTTTTCTTCCGCTAAAAGGATCGATTAGTTACAAGGCGTAAACATAACCGTTGAACTGTGCTCTAACTTTTTTTTAATACAAAAAGTGTTCCACTTCTTGCGTGACTGTCGCGTACTTATTGACACGTTGACTGATGAACTACCACCACGAAAAAAATTCCATAAAATCGGAGTAACTTAGTTAACGAAACTGAGATTGCAGAGTTAAAGTTTGTCATGGTGATCACTTTTTCAAGATTACATTAAGAAATTAATTGTAGAAAGATAGGTGAGAAATTGTACCGTTCTACAAAATTCGTTATAAAACTTGCTAAATATGTGAAACTAGCATTTGCGATCTTTCGTCAATTACATTAACATGTACTTTGTTCTTGATTAACTGTCTAACGTGTTGCAATCTTTTAAAACGTATCAAAGGTGCAGGCATTAACAGAATTGTTTCGTATCAGAGACTATTAAGAAATGATTGATGCAAAAACTATTTGCATGGCTGTCTCGTATTTCGTAAAATTGTTCTTTCAGTTTAGATGTGAACGTATTGCTTCCAATCCCTCGAATTTCTCAGGTCAGAAAATAAAGTAAAGTTAAAACGAAAATCTGTGGATGCGACTCAGAAGTCCACTCTGTCCGATTAAAAGATGCGGGATAAGCGGGCGACAATAACTCGTTCATGGATAAATAGAATCACCGAGGTTCGATGATTTAGCGGGATTCACCGGAGAATCTCAGCGCCCTCGGACGTGCATCGTTGACGAGCTTTTAATTATGCTAATTACTCGAACGAGCCGGTGTATAAGAGGCAGCCAACCGGCGTGTATCGTCGTGGGAAATGGCTGGAGTACGCGAGCCGTGTTAAAATAGATATTTACTGACCTGGATCTCGCCATTCCTCGACCTCGTAGTCGATAGGTCGTTGTCGTAATTTCTTGTTACCGTTACTACCTAAAATACATTACACAAAGGCGGTTTTACATGGTGTGTTTTACGGGCTGGACGGCGTGACAAGGAGAGAGTGAGAAATGGTGAGACGGTGGCTGGAGGGTACGGGGGCAAGGAACACCGAAACGAATGTCCTTGCTTGGCTGACGAAGAAATAAAAGAAATGAAGGAGATGAAGAACCGAGCTAGAAGAACAGAGAAAAGAGAGGAGAGAACGAATGCGCCCTGACTAGTTGGGGCTGCTCAGGTTTGGCTTGCAAATTAATGGCGGGTATTCTACCTAATTCCGCGTTCGTTCGTGGGAAAATTTCGACGATATCGTTGTCTCGGTTGGTTAATTTGCTCCGTCGGCGTACTTGGCGCCGAGGATCGCGATCAAGATCAACGTCGCGGAAATAGGGAGAATACCACGAGCCAACTGAACGTAAGTTACCGTTTTTCTTCATTGATGATGTCACATGGTACGGCGGCGGTGTGGTGGATGTCGTCGAGGTAGCTGGCAGCACTGGAAATTAAGCGAACGGTCGTTTCATTAATGAAAATAGCTCCGAATGAAATGATGCGAAATCGTATTCGATCGAGAACAAGGCGCGATATTTTTGTGAATATTTTCAAAACGAAACAGTAAATTGATATCGTAGAGCTTGCTAATAAAGGGACTGTTCTTTAATTAATCTTTGTAAAGTGTTATAATATTATTGCATCGTGTTTGACCCTTGTACGATATTCGTTTGTTTAACTGTTACGATTTATCGTTACAACAATAAACGTACCGAGCACTAAAGGCGATCGGCGCGTGTTGCTTTATGAAAATTACAAGACTGAAAGTATTTTAACTTCTCACTATATTTTGATTATAATAGGATTATATAAGATTAATATCCTCTGGTATATAGTATATAGAACACCGATGCAGTTAAATTTTCCGTAAACAATGCCCAGAGGAACGGACCAAACAGGTCTTTCAAAAGAAGCAAATCCATGAAGTTAGATTAAAGTCTTTCAACAATGTAAATGCAAAATCTCCAAGATTGAAAATTCAAATTGCGCTGATTGTAGAATAACTTCCCGGGCAAGGCGCTTTGTCTGTAAAAAGTTTTCTTATTTAAGCGAGTACCATAATAAATAACATTTTAGTACAGAACCGTATTCGCGGAGGATTTGCGAATTTAAGAAATTCGAGGCCGAACTTAGAGCTCGCGCTTCGCTTACGCAACGTGCGGCTGAACGATATATCTTATTAAACTTTTAATTTCAGCCAATTTATTCGTCCACGGAGGTGGAAAGGTATACTCTCCTGGGATAAATGTATCCTTCATTTTAATCGCCAATTACGAATAACGGCGAAACGAAAGGGCCGTTCGAGCTCGTCTATCGATCGCTGCCTATCGACTTTGCGTAAAAGTCCATCGGGAATCAATTACTTTGTCATTAGCTCATAAATATAGATATAATTATTTCAATTATTATCGATGTCGTGACTCCGGCCAAACTTTTCAGTTTCCCGCGAAAGTGTTTTCACAATGGAATTCAATACGGAAAACTCCATAACTCATTCACTGTTCCTCCATTATCACTCTACGCCGAGCGAGTACATTAATCGCATTTACGAAAAGAGGTCTTTTAATTGGAGGAAAAATTGTTCTGACCAGAGAATTTCCCTTTTATGGACACGGGACATTTTTTTTATAAGTGTTACGAGAAATTGGAAAAACAACATGAATATTTATAGTTTATCTTCCACATTGTATTCATCTTAATAGAATTTAAGCGATATAATTGCCTAACAAATTTTTATCTAAACGTCTGAGCTATTTTACATGTAAATAAATCGTATTTCATTTCAAATATTTCTTTTTTATGGGTCAAATGTATAGGATTCCGTGCAATTTTGCGATCTAATAACTTTTCCAGATTTTTATGGGCTGTAAAAGCACGACAATAATTGTTGAAGTAATCTCTGAAAATGGAAGTACAATAATTGCTGGACAAACATTTAAATCGTCTTTTCAACTTCTTCGACTTTTGAAGTGATATACATATAAAATGTGTGAAAAGCTCACCGTCCAATTTAATGTCACCGTCAGTTCCTGCAAGAGAATTTTGAGCCACACATTTGTATGTGCCAAAATCTTTCGGCTCGACGTGTCTGATCTTCAGTTTCATGGTCCTGGTGTAACCGTTTTCGGTTTGCACCGCCTCATACTTGTCACCTGTAACGAAACGGTAATTGCCTGGGCAAATAAAACTGATTTTCCCAGCAACGGAAAGAAGAGACGCACAAAGTGATAGTAGAACGAATAGAAATAGTGCAACCTGGCATACGTATGAAGAAATTCAAATCTTTCAAGAGTCCTAACGCTATTGTCCTAATAAGTTAGTAACATGTGGATCAAAACAACTTTCGATGTTAATATCCAAGGATTATTTCTCTCAAGAGCATGCGCAAACTAGTAAACGAGGTAGCATTTAAAATTGAATCCATCATGACTTTTGCATTAGTGAAAAGTTTATCATAGCCGGACTGCAGATTTGATGCATTTATGACAAAAATAATTTAGTCAAATACGAAACAGTAAAAGTATTCAAAGAATTTAAAAATACTGTGAAAAGGACATTATTTTCAACTCGTTAAAGTTATTAAGAAACGAAATAAGTGTCTATGTAGCTCCTGTATCTTACGATTATTATGACGATTTTTGGTTTGCATAAAACTAGGCAGACATAACATAAATTATAATAAATTCGTTCAATCTGGTGACTAGTAAAACGAGAAGTGAATTTCCTTTCTATATCGATAACTTTCTTATAACTGTGACTCGCGGTCATTAAAGAGATGTAATAAAATTTAGAAAAGATAGAAACTGTTTAATTTCGTTCCAACTTTGTTATCGCCACCAGAAGGAGGAAATAGAATTTCATTTAATTTCAGTTTGACGAATTCAATTAGCATGCACTTCTTCAATTTGGCGATATAAAAAGTAGTTTCTATTGATTTTTCAGGATAATATTTCGGTTCAACGACTGCAGCTTAACATCTTTTAGCGAGTGGTAATCGAACTAGTGTAACTTTATAAAGCTTAAAATTACCAGAGACGATCATTTCGCCGCGGTGGGTCGTCCAATAATTGATCGAGGCAGGATAAGCTTCTGTGCGACATTCCAGAGTGACATCGTCTCCAACATACGCAGCCTCTAATTGATTGGGGATAGTAAGCATAGGAGGAACTGCAACAAATGAAAAATAAATACAGAATTATTTCGTCATATGTTACCTTGAATTGAAAAAACTCTTCTCCCTTCCAACTGTATGAGGTACATCGTGTGAAACACAGTAAGTGAAATAAAATAATGATATTGAAATAAACAATGAGAACGAACAATCAAAATAAATAAGTAGCAAGTAATATAAATAATATAATAATGAAATTCAGTTATAGCAGAGAAAATGCTTAAGTATGTCATTAATTCATAATAAGGCTAGAAACAAAGAGAACAATCTATGTATGTTTGCTTTCCGAAATGTTATCTGTATTTCTAATAAACATTCTAATCAAATATTTATGAATTTTCTTGTTGAAAAATACGTAAACTTCATTTCTTTTTTTAAACTGATATAGCTTGTTTAGAAATCTGAAGGACACTGTATACATATTGTAGAAATATTACAAAATTTTACATAATTTCCTTAACGATAAATAAATAAATAAATAAATTTCTGTAGCCATTATTGATTTACATAGTGTGAAAGAATGCTAAAGCGATAATCACAACATTATATATTACAATGCTTATATTCTTAAAGTTATGAATTCGGTAACTCCGTGTCCACAATCTACCATCGGTTATTGTTCTGAAAACGAAATAGTGAACCGTAGTTAATTTAAGCTATCCTTTTTATATTGAATTTTCACGATCGTGTCGTACCCATCCGGAATATGCAAAATAAGTTATTCTCGTGAAAAGGTTCTTTTATCCGCGTGAAACATTTTTCTTCGAAGTTTGAATAACAGTCTCGTTACCGGGGTTACACAAAAACAAAAGATACCATTCACGCCTAAGTTAATTTGAATTTTAATCATGATTAATTATCTTAAGCAAAGAAGCTACCCATTCAGGTCAATGTTTATGAAACCGAAGCATTGTTCCGCGTTTCTTTCAAACGCTGTTATTTACTGCTCCTTGGCAGCACAATTGCTTTCCATGATCGTGTAATTAATTTTTTCAGTATAACGTGAATAAATGAGATGAATGGATTGAAAAAGCGACACCAAGCAAACATTAATTGCTGTCCATTGCTACTCTTTTATATCGCGTTAAAGCTGGTTAATAATTGCTTCCTTTTGTAACTTGCATTTAATGTAGAATTAAACACGATTAACAACAATTCGTCAAAATATTTTTGCAGCTGTTAAATAGTAATCATTTACTGATTCAATTATTATAATCTATTTACGACAACATTAGAAAATATAATTTTATTGTGGAGTACAATTTTATAGCAAAAAGTATACGTACGGATATAATTTACTTCTCATTGTTAGCTATCAATTATGTACTACCAATTACATCTATCTATTAGATAATAATAGATAGATGTTAATGTTTTAGTAAAAGAATAAGCCTACATTTACTACTAGATTTGTTATTAAGAATACAGAATTGTACTATTTAATTTCCAAGATATTTAACAAAAATATATTCCACTAATTTCGAGAGCTACTTTTCTACTAATACTTCAATTAATGTAGTAGAGTAACTTGAACAATGCTTTGAACAATGCTCAGTGATTTATATGCCCAACAAAAATTTCATCGAAATCGGTTAATGTAAATAATTTTGGTTGAAAGTTCAGGAAAACTGCGATTTTCAAGATGTTTAATTGTTTGTAGGTCGCAATAACAAGGATCTAAATTTATAGGTCAAATAACCGATCTCGAAGAAACTTTCTACGTGCTTATAAATCTCTAAGCGTTCAAAATGCATTCTTATGATTTTCGTTGTAGGTTTAAATGAAAAAGTTACGAAACATAATTTTTACATTTTCTTTCTCTAACCATCTCCAGTTTTGTAAGACTTTATTTAGTCATTGTCTAGTGAACTAATCCTTTCAACATTTAAAAAAGAGCAGATCATATATGTATATAGAAATAGATATAGATCATCATATGGGCCAATTTATAAAAAGTTATGCCTCTGTATTTATATATAAATGGATTAAATCCTTTGGTATAACAAAATATAACAAGGGATAACAATGATAGTTATCAAACTTTTTTTGATATCTTCATCACGACTACGATATAATAAAACAATTGAAATATGAATGTCGTAAAATAATGTCCACAATTCGTGATATAACAAAATATAACAAGGGATAACAATGATAGTTAACAAACTTTTTTTGATATCTTCATCACGACTACGATATAATAAAACAATTGAAATATGAATGTCGTAAAATAATGTCCACAATTCGTGATATAACAAAATATAACAAGGGATAACAATGATAGTTAACAAACTTTTTTTGATATCTTCATCACGACTACGATATAATAAAACAATTGAAATATGAATGTCGTAAAATAATGTCCACAATTCGTGATATAACAAAATATAACAAGGGATAACAATGATAGTTAACAAACTTTTTTTGATATCTTCATCACGACTACGATATAATAAAACAATTGAAATATGAATGTCGTAAAATAATGTCCACAATTCGTGATATAACAAAATATAACAAGGGATAACAATGATAGTTAACAAACTTTTTTTGATATCTTCATCACGACTACGATATAATAAAACAATTGAAATATGAATGTNAAATGTTGATAATAAAAGAGTATAATTTGATTTCAACTTCACAGTGAGGGGTAACAATGATAGTTTTTAAGATTTATATTTTCTCGATATTTAATTGTTTGTAAACCGATCTTGAAGAAACTTTTTACATGCATATAAATCTCTAAGCTTAAAAAACGCATTGTTTTTCAATTTTCGTTGTAGGCTTAAATGAAAATGTTACAAAACAATGTTTTGTAAGACTTTGCTTAGTCATTGTCTAGCAAATTAGTCCTTTCAACATTGAAAAAAGTGCAGATCATTTGGGCCAATTTATAAAAAAAGTTATGTCTCTCTATTTATATATCGAGTTAAATCCTTTGGTACAACAAAGTATAGCAAGGGATAACAATGATAGTTAACAAACTTTGTTCGAAATCTTCATTACGATTATGTCAAATAATCTTAATCAAGTTCAATGGATTTGTCATAACAAAAACATTGAAATACGAATGTCGTAAAAATAATGTCGCAATTCGTGGTGTTATAATTGTTCTAGCACAATAAAATTCTAGAAATAAAATATAAGAATCATAGAAACTTACTAACAATGAAAGTACAATCATTTTTCGCACAAGTTATGAATTCTTTATTCCAGCAATTCTTTGCGATATAATTCACATATACAGTAAACTCTCCCTAATTTTCCTTCAGCTTGTAAACAAATATGAACAATTTGGGATGAGGAGATACGATTATTCGAGTCTTGCGTCTCTTTTTTATAATTATTGACAATAGGCAACTATAAAAATAAGCCGCAGGGCTCGAATAATCGTATCTCCTCTTTCCAAATTGTCCATTTTTGTTTACAAGCTGAAGGAAAATGAGGAAGAATTTACTGTACCATTTTTAAATTTACAACACTTATTAAAATAAAATCGTTCCATATATTCTACAAATTCCACTTTCCAACGTACCATACTTGTTCACTGTAAAAGATATCCAGTCTCCTACAGCAATGGTCTCACCTCGTTTCAGACGAAGTGTAACGTTAACAATTAATCACGCGCGTGAGTTCAAACACTGGTTGGCGCGGCGCAAGAAACGATATTAAAGCAAACGAAACAGCGGAAAATAAGAGATTGAAAGCGCGCGCGGGTGGGGATGATTCATTTTTATAATTGTTGACAATCGGAAACTATAAAAACGAGCCGCTAGGCTCGAATAATCGTATCTCCTGTTTCCAAATTGTCCATTTTTGTGCGCAATCTGAGCGTGAATTAGTCAGAATTTACTGTATACTGTTGGGGCTGTTGAAATGGTCATAAAACGATTCTATGGAACTCTGGTCGAAGTACTCGATGGGTTTTTAAAATGTATTCGAATATTTTAGCGAATGGCTGTACGTGTACTCGAAACGTGTATAGTAAACTAGTGGCTGGCGACAAGATAAGGAAACATTTGAATGATAATGGCGCGACTTGATATTCCCTTACGGATTCTAATTAAAGAACAGCTGTTGGTTTTCGAATAACCCCATCTCGCGGGGATGATCCTGTGCCGGGTTTCTTTTATTCGACGGCCGGCCCTTTGTGCACTAAAAATAATGGGCTAGAACGGCCGCGCTCCATGGACACGCTTTGGTACTCTTTAATTTTCTTCATTTTTTCCAAGGGACTCTATAAACTTTCCGTACACTTGAAAGTTCAACGGCGCCGACTTAGGGAATGCGGGACTCTCTTAGAGCGAAAACATCCCTCTCAAACTTTTCCGTTATTATACGTGTTGCAACGAGGGTACGTACGCCGCGCCACGTCCTGAGCTCACCGGCGATCGATATAGATATTCCGGAGCCGCAATATCATGTCATAGTTCCGTCTTTTACGAACCAACGTAAATCACGATTTACTGCCGCTGTATACGCTTGAGACGATATCACGGCGGATACCGTCCTCCCTCGTCCACTCGATATTCTTCCCTCGACGTTTTCGTTGAGTTATCGCGTAGATTGACCGGCCATTAGCTGATCAATTTAATTTCGTTTCGCCCGAAATTTCAATAATTTACCAACCTGCTTCATGCGTCGCAGTACTTTTTAACGTCAACGAATTCCGATCGCTAAAAATCATTGTGTACACCGTTATTCAGAAATCTGTGCTTGCCACGCTAAACGACGGACACTTTCAGAGAAAAAGTTGACCACAATTCACAACTTGAATATACTAGCCATAATGCAACTCACAAAATTGTTTCGAACTTATTTCGCATAAATATCTATAATTTTTCGGTTCGTTTGACTATGATTCTACAGCCGATACATTTGCCGAAAAATATATTTGCAATAAAGATTGTCTGGTATAAAGACGAGCATACACGCTAGCAATTAAGTTTTTGCCATTTTTAACTACATATAATGTGCAACATTTGAAAGTCTA